TGGTAGTTGTTTTTCTCTTTGACATCTGGTGGGAGGGCGTTCCACAGGGCGGGCGCCACTACCGAGAAGGTCCTCTGCCTGGTTCCCTGTAACTTGGCTTCTCGCAGTGAGGGAACCGCCAGAAGGCCCTTGGAGCTGGACCTCAGTGTCTGGGCAAAACAATGGGGGTGGAGATGCTCCTTCAGGCATACTGGACTGAGGCCGTTTAGGGCTTTAAAGGTCAGCACCAACACTTTGAATTGTGCTCGGAAACATTATGGGAGAAGCAAGACCCTCTTGTGGTGTTAATGCTGTGGACCCCTTCATTGTACGGTCAGGTTATATATGTGTGTAAATAAACCACATATCATAAAGACAACACAGTCTCTGCTGTAAGGTAAAAGGTAAAAGACCCCCTCAATGGTTAGGTCCTGTCAAAAGGAAACATGAACCCTGGGTAAGGGCCTGGAACCCCTGCTTGGAGATTGGAGTGGGGTACAACATGTTCTCGAAGCCACAAACATGAGTCTGACCAAACTGCGGGAGGCAGTGGAAGACAGGAGTGCCTGGCGTGCTCTGGTCCATGGGGTCATGAAGAGTCGGACACGACTAAACGACTAAACAACAACAACAACACAACATTATATTTAAAAAGTACAATCTCCTTGATAGAGACTTCCAGGTGGGTGGGCATGTCCCCATCAGTCACAAAATGACATTTGATGAGCACGGGACACCTAGACAGAACAGAAAGCAGAAACAGCAACCTTTGAAACACAAGTTTAACTTTCAGTAACGTACTTGCAAAAGCAACCCCATTCTGGACTCTGTTTTGGATGGAAACAGCCAAAAGGAGTTGAGATATATATGATGATTATGGACACAGCATTTTCTGATGCAAACATGGAATGTCCCTGCAAATTGTAGCGTTTGCACTTGCAGAGAGCAGTCTGCAAAAGGGAGTTGCTTAAGTATTCCCCAACTCTCTGGAGTCCCTCTTCCCGTCTGTTTGATCCCCACTTGGTTCCATAACTGGAAATGGAGCAGGGGAAGCCTAGAGGTGGGGAGATTGCTGGGAAGAACAAACAGGTTTGGGTGACTCTCTCATACAGATTGTCTCCTGCAAAAACCCACCTTCCACATTGCAGGAAATACGTGTTTGCAAGTCAGAATGTAGACCTTACGTTGCTGAGCCCTCCTATAGAGGAAGCAGTGCTCCCTCTTAAATACTTAACTGTTCATAATACTTAACGTCCATAATTAAGAGCCAGCGTCATTAGATGCATGAAGCAAATTGCAAAGGTGTTGACCTGGGTATACGTGTATTTATATATACACATCTGAACTAGTGATATAGTACAGGATAAATCAAATTAACAAGGTGTGAGCGCTGTGGATAATGGGGATGCCAAAATCTGGGGAAGAATCTGGGGCTGGGAAAAGATTACAATACATCATCCGGGTTTGTGCAATACTGTGGAAGAACACATGTGAGGCAGATGCTGTACTGGCAGATGGCCTTTTGGAAACTGCCAATAATTCTTAGCCAGATGCTCTGAAGCCAAAGACTTGACCAGCTCTTTCAACTCAAAATGTAGCCTCTTTTGCTTCCATAGATCCAGCCCGTGTGCATCTCATCTCTTTGTCCATTGTCTGTGCCCATTTTCCTTCATGCACACCTCTCAGATCCTGATTACCCTCCCTCACCCTCCTTTCAACTGCCCAAGGCCTTCATTCTTCTTAACCCATCCAATTTCTGTGACCCATGCCAAAGCCCCTGACCTTTGTGGCTGCTTCTTTTAGTCCAGGGCGCTTGGAGGAAACATCTCTCAGTCCGAAGGCCTCTTTCCCTTATGAGCAACCTTCTGCGGAACGGATGCCAGGGATGGGTAGAACCAAAGGCAAAAGAGTTCAGGGCAACAGGTGCGACTAGGCTTGCCATATGTCAGGAAAATCCCTGACATGTCCTGGTTTTCGGGTGTAAAAATGGTGTCTGGGGGGAATCTTGCTGAATAGGCAAAATGTCAGGGAAAACCCGGATGTATGGCAACGTGATGAAAAAAAAGCTCCAAAAGCTTAAAATCACTATCTCTGGGGGGTTCCCTAAAAAAAGCTCAACAATTTTTGTGGCAACCCTAGGTATGACCCTTCTACACAAGGCTGCAATCCATTTGCATGCCTCTCTGTAGTCTTGAGGAGCCAGCGTGGTGTAGTGGTTAAGAGTGGTGGACTCGTAATCTGGTGAACCGGGTTCGCTTCCCTGCTCCTCCACATGCAGCTGCTGGGTGACCTTGGGCTAGTCACACTTCTTTGAAGTCTCTCAGCCCCACTCACCTCACAGAGTGTTTGTTGTGGGGAGGAAGGGAAAGGAGAATGTTAGCCGCTTTGAGACTCCTTAGGGTAGTGATAAAGTGGGATATCAAATCCAGACTCCTCCTCCTCCTCTTCTTCTTCTTCTTCTTCTTCTTCTTCTTCTTCTTCTTCTTCTTCTTGTATAGCTGTGCCCCTCTTTTTATTCCCCACCCCCAGCTTTAAAAACAAACAAACAAACATACAAACAAACAAACAAATTAAACATTTGATAGGGGAGAAACTTCGTTGCTTTCCATCACCATAACCTCAGATCTGCTGCTGCGGATCCATCCTAGCAAGGAAACTTTCCAGCCAGGCAAAACTAGTAAGAAGTGTGTATTGGGGATGAGATGAAGCATAGAGTCACAAAGGCCAAATAGAGGGCCACATTTGGCCCTGTAGCCTGAGATTCTCTAAGCCTCTTTTAGTGCTGCTTCTGAACGCTCCTTTTCCTATCCAGTCCTTCTGTGATGTAAGGACAGTTTAGCCAATCATTGCCATACCCAGTGCAGAATCATTGAATGTATACACCATGCCTACTTCATCAATTTCCCATCAAAATTATTAGTTCACTAACAAACCTTGGATTCACATTACTTATGTGTCAACACATAAAGAATTTCAGTGCAGGACAGGACATATAGAAACTGATAAGGTAGAAGAGACCCTGGGTATTTTTATTTCTATTTTATAAAGTTTTATTAAGGCATTACAATAAAAGAACTAAACAAAAACATAACAAAAAGAGAGAAAAAAGAATACAAAGTCCTCCTTCACAGGTAAATCGTAGCTTGTCCCACACAGAGAAAGGTGAACCCTCCCAGATCTTGCCTGGGAGCTTCCCTTTCTTCCCTCATCCTCGCACCCTGGGAGATTTTCTCTTCCCTGCTCCTTACTCAGGAGACCCTAGATATTTAGTTGTGCTGTGGCAAAAAGTGGTGACCAGCAGCCAGCAATGATGTCATTTTGGGAAGGCTGTATTTCGACAGAAACAGGAAAACATGCATCCACCAGATTGCTTCACTCGAACAGTATCATTACAAGGGACTTCCTCATAATGAAAAATGACCATTTCCTTGACCCATTAATAAATCGAAGGAACATCATTTGTGTACAATGCGCCATTTCAGCTATCTTCCCCTACAACAAGAGAGCTCTCTGAACTTCAGCTACGCAGTTCTTACAAAATATAAGGCTGAAAACAGACTGTTCCAAGGAAACTGAAAGCTCAACATGCGGAATCTCTAGAGCAGAGAAGCTGGAACATTTTACATCCTTGTTTACATAACAAAGGTACAGTATCCTCAGCCTTCAGAAAGATGGGTGGTGTGGGTGCTCCCTCCCTCGCTGTGGCAAGGTGTACAACAACACTAATTACCCGGGAATGCACCATGCTAGAATGTTGCTTAATTTAGATGTTGATCTAAAATGACCTAACAGAAGGAAGTAGAAAGCTTTGGGGAAAAGCACTCCGTCTTTGAATAACATCACTGAAGGAGGGAAAAAAAATCTGCACAAAGGTCAGACAACCTGGATGATATACAGCTTCAGGAGATTTGTCCTGAATTTGCTGGTTTGGGCTCAAAAAGTTATGCTTTTTCCATTTGAACTTTTTGACCCCTTTGCATTCCAGAGGGAGTGTATATGTCAGCAAGGGCATTCGCACTGTGCATTTAAAGTCCTATCATTCTGCTTACGGCTTCCCCCAAAGAAGCCTGGGAGTTATAGTTTGTTAAAGGTGTTGAAAGTTGTTAAGAGGCCCTCGATTTCCTCGCATAGCTACATTTCCCAGAGTTCCTGGGGAAGAAGAACTGTTTTTATACCACTCTGGGAACCGTAGTTCAGTGTGGGGCCTGCACAGAGCCTAGGACTTGCTGATCAGAAGGTTGGCGGTTCGAATCCCCGTGACGGGGTGAGCTCCCATTGCTCAGTCCCTGCTCTTGCCAACCTAGCAGTTCAAAAGCACGTCAAAGTGCAAGTAGATAAATAGGTACCGCTCCGGCGGGAAGGTAAACGGTGTTTCCATGCGCTGCTCTGGTTCGCCAGAAGCGGCTTAGTCATGCTGGCCACATGACCAGGAAGCTGTACGCTGGCTCCCTTGGCCAATAAAGCGAGATGAGTGCCGCAACCCCAGAGTCGGCCACGACTGGACCTAATGGTCAGGGGTCCCTTTACCTTTACCTAACAACTCTCGGTGTCTTTAACAAACTACAGCTCCCAGAGCGCTTTGGGAGAGGCCATGGCTGTTAATGTGCCATAATAGTGCTTATGGATGTGGTTGAATACACACCACTACTAATTTACTTGGCTTTTACAGAGATGCACATGCCTTTTGGCAGGTTTGATCTCGGATACAGTGGAGGACACCATCACATTGGTAGTGTGGAAATAAGGTTCCGCCTCAGTGCATGGAATGGGTAGAGGGCGCCATCTTGTTGTGCGCAGCAAGAAGCCCTAGTTATGGCACAAACGGCATCTTACTCTGTTGCCACAGGACTGGCTCTTTCTAGCTTCGAGTGGCTAACCCCAAAGGAGGACATTGACTAGGCTGCTGGAGAAAATGCTGGTTCCAGTCTTGGTTGATCTTGACTGGTGGGTATACTATGAAATGTCCAGACTCTTCATATTCAAAAGAACTTTACTTTCATATAACTGAGAACATATCTACAACCTCATGCTTATTTACTTCATTCCTCATAGAGAGCACGGGTTCCTCCTCCCCATTAACATTTAGGGATCTTCCTCTGTCTGCTTCAACCCAGACAGAGCACACCGACACCACATTGCCCTCAGCAGCATCCTGAGAAGCCAAACTCGGCTGCCATTCTCCCACACACAGAGAGAGAAAGGAGAACAGAAAACAGTTAAAAACGACAGTTACTTGAATAACAGTCACAACAGAATGGAATGCCTCTCTCATGTGACTCACAGCCAGCCAATCACATTTCAGGAAATTAAAATTATTATCCTTAACACTGGCAGGCCTCGTCCTAGAAGCTCTTTGAGTTAGGATGAAATGTATGTAGAACAGGGCTGCTGTTGTTGTTTTGCAAGATGGCTAGCATTCCTGTTTGCATCAGCCGGTTATAGAACGTCTGGTGCACAGACCTTGACCAAGCTGTGCCTTCTCAGCCCATCCCCAAAAGCCCAAAGAAGCATAAAATAAATAAACCCCTACGAATGCCAGTAGATTGGTCTTTAAAGGTACTGCAGCCAAATTGTGATGGAAAAGGCCATAAATCAAAGTACGGGCAGGCCATTGCTCTTGATGGAGACATAAGCCTCCCACCCCCTGTAGCTCCCGCAAGAGAGAGAGAAAGAGAGAGATTTTTCCACCGCCATATATGGGAAAGGGCCCTGCACGAAATGGCAAACTAATGACTGAAGAGCCAGGGATACACAAGAGAGGATAATAGAGGCTCTTCCCTACCCCAGTCACGACCCGCTTCCCCAGACTAACTGATTGCCGTTTCACAGCTGATGCCCTTAAAGAGAAACACGCGGTTCCTGCCAGCCAGAGACATGTGCTCGCATTTCTAAGCCTCCTGCTACACTGATGCTTCCAAATTCCCATTATGCCAATCCACCTTTTGTCTTCCCATCCGACTCTGACGGGTGGGAGAGGGAGGGAAGGTGATGTATTTATCACCCCTGCATAATGAAGGCTCTTTCATCAACCCACATACATTTGATTCACAGCTGGAGGCAAAAGTCTCACACTGTGCATTGATTTATGCAAGATTCTTTATTAAAAAACAGGAGCCCAGGAGCTGAAATGGGTTTGTTCTCTCTCACATACACACACAATATCACACATTCACACAACACACACACACACACTTGTGTGGCAGTTGCTTCAGGCTAAAGGTGCAGCTTACAGTGGGATCCACTTCTTTCAACTTTGACCCAGACTTCTTCATCTAGCTAATGTCTCTGCTTCATAGTTGGCAGAATTTTTTGTATAAAAGATGCCCAGTTAGTAAGGGGGTGGGGGACTTTGGTAATATAGCACTCTGAGTGAGGACAAAATCCCCCCCCCTTATTTTCACAATAATTCCTTTTGGTACAGTTGCTTTTTAAATGGATCTTCTCAGTAAGTACCTGAATAAATATAGGATGGTGATGATGATGATGATGATGATGATGATGGTGTGCCCCCTCAGCTTGGTGCCCTGTGTGGGAGAACTGATCACACAACTCTAAAGCCAGTGCTGAGTTAGCTCACTTCATTCTTAATAGGCTTTGCAGCCCCCTGCTGTTTACCACCTAACTGGTGCTTTATTCCCTATTCTCTTCCCTTATTTTCAGGAAACATAAGTGTCAGGGAACTGCCATCAGTGCCGGAGGGAGAGAGCAAAATCCAGAGGGATTCTGGAGAGCGTCCTGGGATTGGGAGAGGCAGCCCATCTTCTGGGGAAGAGAATCAGCGTAGCACCAATGGAGAAGGGGGGCAGATGGGGGAAGCGGCGAGGCGGTCCCATGACTCCTTGCCGGGGACCAGTGGGGAAAGTAGAGGTCCTCCGCTGCCTACGCCCTCCTTGCGCAGAAGGCTTTCGCACAGAGAGAGTAGGAGGAGACTAGGCGTCAAAGAGCTTCTTTGCTGGAAGAAGTTTAAGAAATGCCCACTGACGGATTCTGCCAGCGATTGAGACAGCCACGGGTGAGTGGCTGTCCGGACAGAAAAGGTTCACTCAGGCAATCCAGCCAGGTGTTTGCACCGGCTTACGCACGAGCAACCCCTAGAACCATTACAATAAGTTTGGAACCAAAAGAAAATATGAGTCACATATTTGATTAATCAAATCCATTGCATTCAGTGATCAAGGGGCTATATTGATTGGATTTGTTGTGTGTGTGTTTTATTTTTTAAAAAGGCCTTCATGAGAATATTTTATCTGCTCCAATTCAACATCTCATCTGGTGAAAATGACATAATACAAAGCAACCCCAGGCAATAAAAAATTAACTGCGATGTTCTGTTATTTGTCTACATACTCCTTTTTTTGTAAACCCATAAATATGTGCTTCACTTTTGCAAAATAGCATTTGCTTTTGCTCTTTTTGGATTTTCAAGAACCTAACACTTGGTAGTGGGCAAAGGAGTTCTGATAAATGGCCTTTTAACGGCTAGTGGCTATTTCATGGCCCTGGACTTTGTGTCATATTTTACCTACCTGGGGAATGGCTAAAAGAATTGCTTTTTGTAATCTTGAATTTTGCTGGAGAGAAAGAGAGAAAGAGAGAAATGGCAGCTTGGAGGCAGTTGCAGAGAAGATTCTGACTGACCATAGCAGCTTCTGGAAGATGGACAAGTATCTGAAGGTTCAGGGTCACAAGCAAACTTCCACCACCTTCTCAACTGGTCTTACAGCTATAAGCTGTATTTACATGTATGGAAGGGTGCTTGTGAAAAGCTGTACACTGCTTTATTTGACCAGCTTAGCTATTATAGACACAGCTACACAGCTGGTACGATCATTGAATGTTACACGTGAATAACTGGATGAGCATATAGCTCAACTATTTATGTAACACAGATGGTTCACTCATTGAATGTAACATGATGTGAACATGCCTTACATCAGCGAGAGAGTTCAGAAAGCAGGTAAGAGGCTTTAACTCAGTGACACAAGCTGAGGAAACAGCAAGCGCCTCAAGTCAACCAGAGGGCACAAGGGGTGTTAAACAGGCTTCTTTAATTTAAAATGCCTGTTCTGTATAACTCCTGACCGGCTCCTACTTGGTAGGACACATCTCTTGCAACATCCAACATATCCCCTGGATAGCTCAGTTGATTAGAGCGTGGTGCTGATAATGCCAAGGTTGCAGGTTTGATCCCCATAAGGGACAGCTGCATATTCCTGCATTGTAGAGTGTTGGACCACATGGTCCTCAGGGTCCCGTCCAACTCTGCAATTCTATGAAATCTGAAAGTTAAAGGTAAAGGGTAAAGGGCCAGCATGACTAAGCCCCTTCTGGCGAACCAGAGCAGTGCATGAAAACACTGTTTACCTTCCCGCTGGAGCAGTACCTATTTATCTACTTGCATTTTGATGTGCTTTCGAACTGCTAGGTTGGCAGGAATAGGGACCGAACAACGGGAGCTCACCCCGTCACGGGGATTCAAACTGCCGACCTTCTGATCGGCAAGCCCTAGGCTCTGTGGTTTAACCCTCAGCGCCACCCACGTCCCTGAAAGTTTTTCAAAATATAGTCCGGCCCACCACAAGCTCTGAAGGACGATGGACCTGCCCATGGCTGAAAAAGGTTGCTGACCCCTGCTCTAGGCTTTGTGTATATTCTCTATGCAAGCCGAGTGCAAGCACTGGATTTGGTGCAGAACACTTAAGTATGCAAAGCAACTGCTCATCCTTAACCTTATTGTCTTCCTCTACAGATGCACAGCAGCAAGCAGATTTCAGATTCCCACTCACCCCCAAGCTTCCAGGGCTTCTCTGTATTTTGTTTTATTAGCGATTCACTCCTAAAGTGCTAAACTCAATGTTTCCATGAACAAGATGAATCACTGAGAGCAGTGGATGGTAAACAATAAGATATTAATGGCCCTTAATGGCTGGAAATTTCTGCCCAGCCTTTGGAATGCCCCAGTAGGAACCGCACAATAACTGTTGCTGCTTTGAATTCAGGCAGAGCAAGCTGCAAATTTGTAGTAGTTGGTTGCAGGCAAAAATGCCCTTGGGTGCAGTGACTTTGGGGGTAGCAGTATGGCTTGGTTTATGATTCAGCTTGCTTCCAATATGCTCTATTTGTAGGTCTGTAAATAACCAGATATTATAAAAAAAAGATGGTAGGTTTTCAGTGTTTTCTTATTACAAGGAAATATACCTTGTAAAGATGCCATTCCCGGAATGTCCTACTGCATGGGAAGTGAGCTGAGTCACTCTCTCTCTCTTTTGTAACAATATCATAATGAGCTGCCATTGCATACATTCATGTTGAAAAGGATCTGCTACACTTCCTTCAATAGAAAGTTGCTTGTCGCAGGGTTTTGTTTTGTTAAAAAATGCTTCATACCACGGAAAGGGCTGCTTGTTAATTACAGAGTATACGCATGCATAGCTAATGCTTGTAGATTAATAAAAAGCAGGAGCATATGCTCTGTCAGTGAAACGATATCATTTGAATTGCAGTGGCGGAGCCTGAGCCCAGCAAATAATGATGCCAGCTGTTGCCAAAAGCAACTCATACAAAAAATATATAATCCGTTCAAGCTCAGCATTAAAACAACGGTGTTGGATCTGAGACGAGAAGGCAGCGCTTGCCCGCCACTCCCTTTTGCAAAAAGTCAATACTACCTCACAGAAGCAGCTCCAGCCTTGGAGTGATATGTGGGGGGAAGGGAGATTTTTGACAAAGCAAAAATAAAGAAATCACAGTATTATCTCATAGTTTTGCAGCAATGGTGAGGAACTGGGAATGATTAAGGATAGAATTTTTTAAAAAAGCCCTGTTCTTGTTCCTTATGTTCCACAATAACATTTTAAAAGAATCTACCCACATTATTATAAATATGCATGTGCAACTTGTTTATATGACAAATGCACAAAGCTTTAAAAAAATGTCTCATTTCCCACAGAACGGGAACTGAGGGGCTCTGGTCCCCTTTCTACTGCTCAGACAGTGGAGCTGTCCAGCAGTGTGGGGGGTGTTCTTTCAGACCAAGGGTGCTGAGATAGTCTGGGAGCTGTCCAGGAAGTTAAAGAAACCAGACATTTCAAGTCAGAGGAATGGACAGGAGGAAGTGTTGTACCAGCAACAGCCAGGCATCAGTGGAGTTGCTTTATAGCTGCCCCACCTAGAACACCAGCAAAGTCTTGATCCAGAGTGAGCTCTCTGCAAGAAGTGAGGTTATACAAGGAACCAGGCAAAGGGCCTTCTTGGTAGTGGTGCCCATGCTGTGGAACGCCACCCCCCCCGCCCCATCAGATGTCAAGGAAATAAACAACTATCTGACTTTTAGAAGACATCTGAAGGCAGCCCTGTTTAGGGAAGTTTTTAATGCTTGATTTTTTATCATGTTTTTAAAATTCTGTTGGGAGCCGCCCAGAGTGGCTGGGGAAACCTAGCCAGGTGGACAGGGTATAAATATATTATCACCACCACCACCACCACCTCTAGTGCTCTTTCCTCTAAAGCAGCGGTTCTCAACCTGTGGGTCCCCAGATGTTGTTGAACTACAACTCTCATCATCCCTGAGCTCCGGCCTTGCTAGCTAGGGGTGATGGGAGTTGTAGTTCAACACCATCTGGGGACCCACAGCTTGAGAAAGGCTGCTCTAAAGGAAATCAAGTTGCAGTGCTATCCTTAGAGAGTTGGGGCCTATGCAACAGGATATCGCTCTCTTATCCACTTCTATGATAAGTGAGAGGTTCTGAGGATGGCAGATTCTTATTTAGTTTTTCTTTAATGACATATACACACACACACTTAATCAGGGATAGCCAACATGCTGCCCTCCAGATGTTGTGGAATACAACTCCATCATCCCTGACCATGGGCCGTGCTAGCTGGGGCTAATGGGAGTTGGAGTCAACAACATCTGGGGGGGAACCACTGCCCCTGATATATATATCACATAAGTCTTGGGCAGTTGCTCCTTGCTTCCTTTAGGAGCTGACTGACCTCCCTTCTCTGTCTTCTTGTCAGCCTAGTTTGGCAGAGGAGAAATAACTCAGCCATCCTCTTCTGCATCTCCTTACCTTGCCTTCCTCTGTGGCTTATCATGTGGAGCCTAGGGATTTCCAAGCCTCTTATCAGCCCTGCATGCAGCCCATCTTGGCTGATTAGTATTTGGGCTACTCATGAACAGCTATTCTCATTTGCAGACTTAATTACAAGCCCCCCAACTATTTCTCTATTGTCTTTCCAAGCAACCTGGGGTGTGTCCTCTCCACTAACCATTAAGCCTCATCGCAGAAATCTCAAGTGACCATTAGCAAGCAATTAATCACAATGTCCATCCGACAGCAACTGCAATATGATATGCCAGTTAACTTTTTCAGCACCGAAAGTGAGCAAATGCCATAAAACAAGTTGCAGATTCATTTTCATATAATAATATGTTTTTAAAGTGAAATCAGAACATAAACTACAATGGTCAGATCCATTAAAGATAACAGCCAAGGACCGCATCAGATTTGAGCCAGAGACTTGAGAGATAATTAGCTAATGTGGTCCAGGAGATGGAGCCTTTCTGCATTATTGGAAAAATATGTGCACTAACCACATTTTTCCTAATGCTACCCAGGAGTGCCAACAGCATGATAGCTTCTCACCCAATAAGAAGAGCCTGATGGATCAGACCAAAGCCCAGCAATCTGTTATCGCAGTGACCAGTCAAGTTGCCTGTGAGAAGC